CCCCGTAGAAAGGCTTAGTGCCAGTCCCACCCTTCTGGTGTTCCTCAGCTGTTTGGTAAGGGAGGCCTTATTTTCCTCAGGACAGAACTGGGGCACCTGGGTATGAAAGCTGTCTTCATTCAATGCCTCAAGAATTTCCAAGTGGATCAAGACCCCATGTGTCAGCCTAGGAGCATTTCAGCTCATTCCATAGCCATAGCTGCACAGTGCTCAAGAGATATTGGTCAGGACTGCTGACATTGTTATCGTTTCATAATCCCTGCACTTTGGTATTGGACTTCTTTTCCTCTGAGCCCTTGATACCACTTCACTTAGAAAAAGGCAAAACTTGACACTTTACAGAAAACCTAACCCAGAGCAGCCCCATCGTCTCAAGGCCCCTTCCCCATAGTAGTAACCTTTTTGTGATTTATCCAGAATGGATTTCTACTCAACCTGTAATTACAGGTATAAAACCTTAATCAAACTCACTGCCATCGAGTCGGTCCCAACTCATAGCAACCTCTCCTTGGGTTTCAGGGGCGGTATCACTGGAATTAGATTGCCTAGTCTTCCTTCCAAGGAGTGGCTGGTGGATTTGAACCACCAGCATTCTGGTTAGCAGTCAAATGCTTAGGCATTATACCACCAGAGCTCCTAATTATAGGGATGTTGTTGTTGTTAAGTGCTGTCGAGTTGACCCGACTCAGCGACCCCTCCTTGGGTTCTGAGGCAGTATCACTACGGAAGTAGGTTGCCCAACCTTCCTTCCCAGAAGTGACTGGTGGGTTTGAACCGCCAGCCTTCTGGTTAGCAGTCAAGTGCCTTAGGCACTAAGCTTCATTAAATGCCTCTTAGGAGAGTGAATTTTCTTTTCATGTTGGAAAATGGATCCTAGCAGAGTAGATTTTCATGCGCTAGTAACTAAAGGTCTTCCTCAGGCCGAATTCACTGACGTTGAATGTGGGAACAAGAGGCGAAGCTCTTATGAGCCAATTGTGAATGGAGCAGGTTCATTCTCAGCTTCCTGGCTTGACACATGGAAGTGAGCATGACAAGAAGTTCCCACCCTGTCAGAGAGGGTGAGTGTTCTAGCACAATTTTTGCCTCAATGCACTGAGCATTTAAATTTTGAGCAGCCTACCACCAATCTTTTTGAAAGCTCTTCCACAGAGATTCCCAAGGAAGAACAAAGGCTTGAGATTAGGATTTTTATCAGTGTGCTTCATTCAGCTGTTAATGTTCTAGGTCAAGATTTGTCAACTCAAGTTCTACCCGGGTCTGGACAGATAACAAATCCACAGAGCAATGTGGAAGCAGCTGGTATTCCCTCTTCCCCACACCTCAGAAATAGTAAACTCATTAAGCTATTGCTTTTTTGTTTGTGCCAAACTGGTTAAGAGACACAGGGAAGAGAAATATGGAAAAACCAATCCATATTCTCCCTCTTAATTAAAGAGAAGTTTCTAGTTTACTTATTGGGGCTTCTTACTCAGAAACGTGGTACATGTGGGGTGGAGAAGGCATTGAAATGCCATTACTCTGGTCTCAAAGGTTGACTCTCAGGGGACCTCTCAGGGAGGACAGTGGATAGAGAAAACTAATTCTAGACATCACCCCCACCTTCCCCTTCCTTGGAGTGTAAAGGCAACTGGTCTCTTAAAGATGATTCTGTTTGCTGAAAGATTGATTAAAAAATATTCCTTTGCAATTTCCCTAGATGAACTTGGGGAAGGGGCGGCACCTTTCCATGCCCATCCCACCAGCGTGTGTGTTGATCCTATTGCCTCTAACCACTCCTAAAGGGTCACTGGCCACCACGCTGTTGTCTTCCGCACTCGGGAGCTCCTGCGAGCAGGAAGCCGGAGCCGGTGTCATCCGGGGCCGGGGCTTCAGCACGTTTAGCGGATCGTGTTCAGGGTCTTCCTCAGCACTGCGGGTGTGCCGCCGTGGCTTAGGGGTATTGAAGTGAATCAGGGGGATCTCATTCCTTCGGGACAGGAACTGGGAGTAAGGTGGTGGGTTCATGCCTGGCAGGAAGACTCTCTTTGCGCGTCCCAGACTGATCAGGAAGTGATGCTGAGGAGAGTAATAGACGTCATACCCATTTTCCAGGGTCCCGTGTCTGAACCTGCAGTTCTCCGGGTTGAAGTAATGCTGCAAGAGCAAAAGTAACATAGGTAAGGCAAGCTGGTATAAGCTCCTGACCTCAGACTTCTGAAGCCCTTGAGTATTTATTACATGCCAGCCTTTGCGTATGTTGTGTTCATGCCTCTTAACAATAGCTAAAAAAAAAAAAAAAAAAAATTGCTAGTGAGTTCATCCTGACTCATGGTGAGCCCATGTGTTTCAGAGTAGAACTGAACTCCATAGGGTTTTGAATGGCTGTTATCCGTCAGAAGTAAATCACCAGGTTTTCTTCCAAGGTACTTCTAGGTAGATTTGAAACTCCAATTTTTCAGATGGTAGGCTTAACCATTTGCTACACCCAAGGACTCCACAGCTCTATTCCAAAAAAAAAAAAAAAAAAAAAACCCCAAAAAACCACACCCACTACCATTGAGTTGATTCTGATTTATAGTGACAACCATTGGGTTTCCAGAGCTGTAAATCTTTATGAAAGTAGATTGCCTCATCTTCTTCCCATGGAGCAGCTGGTGGGTTCAAACTGCCTACCTTCTGGTTAGCAGCCCAATGCCTTAACCACAGCACCACCAGAACTCTATTAGGAAGGTACAATTTAGCCTAATTTTTTCAGATGAAGATATTGAAGTATTAATGCTTCCTCTTGGGGGAAAAGTATTTGACCAATGCTTTCCAAATTCCCCAAGGTCTGAACATAGCTGTCACAACTTTCAGGGAGTAGCAGTAGCAGCTCACTTCCCAGAGAAGCATGTGGCTTGTTTGGGCAATAATTAAGAAAGGCAGTGTACTCCTTATGTTTCTGGAGAAGAGCTAACATAAATACATTGTTCTTCCCACTTGCTACCTTGTTGAACCTTCATCTGGCTGAAAGTTGGCTTGGTCTGTCTCCTTGCCTAGAGAAATGAGATGGGAAAGGGTCTGTAGGGTCAAATAGAAGTGGGGGTACTCCCATCAGAGAGACAATATAGTTTGGGAACTAGGAACATGAACTTAGCCAGGAGATGACCTGGGTTTGAGTCCTCACTCTGCCACTAATGGTACCTAGTTTTATTGAATGCCTACCAGGTCCTTTACATAATGTTATGTATTAATTATGTATGCCCAAAACATGTGTTATAAATCCTAACCCCTATACCTGTGGTTATAATCCCATTTGGGAATGGGTTCTCTGCCTCCTAAACTGAGAAAATTAATTTCGTTTGTTAAAACCACCCACTTTGGTATTTCTGTTACAGCAGCACTAGAGAACTAACAAACATATTGCATTTCATTCTCAAGCTCTATACAGCGGGTATTTTACAGATGATGACTATGTATGTTTCTATATTTGTTTAACAGATAGTGTTATAGGTATAGGGAGACAGCAGTGAGCAAATCAAAAAGGCCCTGCTCTCATGGAATTTCTAGTGGATTTGTCTGGTGGTTTGGTGGCACAGTTCCTAAGGCATTTGACTGTTAACCAGAAGGTTGGTGGTTCAAACCCACCAGCCTTTCTGTGAAAGGAAGATGAGGCAATCTACTTCTGTGAAGATTTACCATCTTGGAAACCCAATGGAGGTTGCTATGAGTCAGAATTCACTCAATGGCTGTGGGTTTGGCTTTTGGTTTATGTCTAGTGGTGAGAGACTCCTGAGATAAGCAGTCCTACAATTTCACTATCTCAAAATCCTTTGGAATATGTGTGCAATTTCAGTTTGAGAAATTTGTTTGCTTACAAATCTGAATGACTAGTTAATCACAATTACGGCAGAGATAGAGATCTTTAAACTGGAGGGAGTTCCACAGCTCATGTGGTCAGTATCACAGCACTTTTTTTTTTTTTTTAATTTTTAATGTGATTTGGGTGAAAGTTTACAGAGCAAATTCATTTTCCATACAGCAGTTCATACACATTTTATGTCATGACATTGACAGCTGTTCCCCACAATGTAACAGCTCTCGTCCCACTTCTTGTAGTTACCTCTTCCCTGTGTCCTTCTTTCCTATACATTCCTGCTTCCCACCCCCAGCTATCTTCCTGTGCAAACACTGCCCTTCTGTTCTCCCAAAATTGATCGCTGTAAGGAGTGTATCTACCTGATGTAAATGTTCACATGATATGCTTATCTGTTGTTTGGCTGGAATCTGGGAGTGAGTTCAGTTCCAGACCTGAAGGTTTACTAGGTGCCATAGGCTTGGAGTTCTCACTAGGCTCTATCAGACAAGCAAAACTGGTTATTTTTTATGATAATGAGTTTTGTTCCACATTTTTCTCCCACTCTATCCAGGATCTCCTGCACTGAACCCTTTCTATCACTGTACTTTTTATAGGTGAGGAAACTGAAGTTGACATGTCGTAGTGAAGTAAAAGTCACAGAAACACCCATGACCTCTCACCCACCTCTTCTAATGAATGTACTTTGCTCAACAACATGAATTTAGTGACTTGGGGACCTACTACTACATATAAGGTGCTGTGGTAGATACAAAAATGAGTACCAACAGGCAGTACAGGAGAGAAATTAAGAGCATGGGCTCTTGAACTAGGCTGCCTAATTTGAAACCCCAGTTGTATAAACCTGAGCATTTGACACTTAGACTGAACAAAGTACTCAGTGAAAACAGACCATCAAAGTACAGTGCAAATGGTATCTTTAAGCTGCACAAGTCCATGTTCTGTCAAAGCAATTCAATATTTGTTTTCAAATGGTGACTGTACAACACAGGACTCACCGATCCAAAAATGTTGCCTCTGAAATCCATACAGAGGTATCTCCTGCTCATCACCCCTGTTATCACCACAAAGCCAGCATCCTCTGATCTGATCATCAGGGCACCTATGGAGAAAGCATATATGTCAAACGCTTGTTGCACATCCAATTCATTCTCAACTTTAAGTACTTCCTGAAATCCACCTTCATGAAATCTCCCTGGGTTGATTTTAAGAGCGGTGATGACTGCACAAGGAGGTCTAGTGGTGCAGTGGTTAAAGTGCTTGGTTGCTAACCAAAAGTTTGGTGGTTGAAACCCACTAGCTGTTCTGTGGGAGAAAGATGATGTAGTCTACTTCTGTAAAGAATTACAGCCTTAGAAACCCTGTGGGAGCATTTCTACTCTGTCCTACAGGGTCGCTATGAATTGAAATGGACTCAACAGCAGTGAAGTTTGGTGGGGATGACTGCACAGAATCTTTCTCTTGTTCTTACTTGTTAAGGTAATTTCTTGTGACCTGTTGCATTTGCCTCTTGCTTCATCTTCTTGCTTGTATGGAGCTCGCTGAGCTTCTGGTCAGTGGTATCACTAGGGTTGGTGTTACTCAGTGCAGTAACTCATTGTGTAAACTGTTGCCTTGCCACCCCCACCCCATGGACCTCCTCCGGTACCAGACCATACAGAATCCTTGGTAATGTTTATTATCACTTTTAATCATAGAATAATATGTGATAAATATAGTAGTAAATTGTTTACATATATTTCTTAGATTATATGAATAATAACAGCAAAATTATTTTGTAAGATCTTTCTACACTGAATTATAATACCAATAGTTACATTATTAGTAACTGAACAGAAACCTTTTTTTGATATTTCTTCTTCTTTTCCTTTAATTACTACTTCATTCTGAAAAAAAAGTTATTGATATAGGTTCACAAACACTACTTACCACAATATTGTAGGTAAAACACCGAAAATTTGACAAAATCAACAACTATAAGGCAGCAACAATGAAAACAAGAGTGTGTGCCGTGTCGTGCATGCCAACGAAACCACATGACTTGAAGCATCATTGTAATTGGTTAGCAATGACAGTTCTGACTGGAGTGCATTCAGTCTTCCTTCCAAGGAGTGGCTGGTGGGTTAAAACTGCCAGCCTTCTCATTAGCAGTCAAATGCCTTAGGTACTATGCCACCAGAGCTCCTAGAGTTCTAGCCTTGTAAGTTTATTGACACATGTAAGCTGGACTTACAAAAAAATGTTTTTATTGTTATAAACTAACTACAGGGATATTTTAATTAAAAATAATAAATTTCTGCTGAAACACTGCACAAAGAATGTGACAGTCATTCTGGTGTCACCGTTCTGACAGTGTCACCTGGTGTGGTCTCACCCCCCACATCATCCTAGAGATGTCACTGCCCCTGGCATCTTTTCACCTGTGCTTAAACACATTCTTCTCTCTCTGCCTGGAATGTTTTAACTTTCCCCTTCTTCACCTTAGGAGCTCTGGTAGCGTCGTGCCTAAGGCACTTGACTGCTAACCAGAAGGCTGGTGGTTCAAACCCACCAGCCACTCCTCGGAAGGAAGGTTGGGCAATCTACTTCCATAGTGATACTGCCTCGGAAACCCAAGGAGGGTTCACTATGAGTTGTGTTCAACTCGACGGCACATAACAGCAACAACAACAGCTTCACCTGGCTATTACCTTTTGCTTTTGTGGTAGTGGCCATGTTCTTCCAAACCTGCTTTTGTGGTTTTTAAGTGGGACCAACATGTCTTTCAAGTTTCAGTTTGCATGCAGAGTCTGATTTTCCTCTCAGATAGTTGATCAGTTTGTTGTTGTTGTTGTGTGCTGTCGAGTCGGCCCTGACTCAGTAGTCCATAATATATCCATCAGCAAATCTTTTTTGAACATCTATTGTATGTCAGGCTCTGGAGTTTGAGTGATCTTTCTCTCCTTTCTTTGTTTATTGAAGTCTGCTTATCCTTAAAGAAGCCCTGGTCAATGGTTGGAACCTACCCAGCAGGTGTACAGGAGAAAAAACCTGGCCATCGGCTTTTCTAAAGGTTATAGCCCTTGAAACCCCGTGGAGTAGTTCTCCTCTGTCCTATAAGGTTGCTATGATTTGGAATCATCTGACAACAATAGCTTTTCAACTTATCCTTGAAGACCAGGCTCCAATGTCACTACCTCTATGAAATGCCTAATCAGAATGGGCGTTTTGGTCAGCTCCCGCAGCACAATGCCTTCATCTCTAATTATGTATTTCACTCACCTTGGGCTTAACTCCATTTACATACCTAGTGCTTCCCCTAGAGTGAGCTGATAGGACCAAAGTGTGTGTCTTTTCATGTTGAACAGATAACTGGGATGCATGGAATTTTCTTTTCCATCCTGTCTTTTGCTCACTTGGTGGTGCCCCCTCCAGGTTCAGTCCCTGATAGTTTTTCAACATTCCCTCTCAATAGCTAGTTTCAGACAAAGGACCTGAAATCCATTAATACTGTTGTTAGTTTCTGTCAAGTTGGTTCCGACTCATGGCGACCCCATATGTTACAGAGAAGAACTCTTCCATGGGGTTTTCTTGGCTGGAATCATTTTACTGAAGCAGATCATCAGGGCTTCCTCCCATAGCACTGCCGACTGGGTTCAAACTGCCAACTTTTAGGTTAGCAGTTGAATGAAATTGTTTTTACCACCCTGTAGCCATTGCCATCAAATCAGTTCTGATTCATAGTGATCCAATAAGACAGAGTTGAACTGCCTCCTAGTGTCTCCAAGGCTGTAATCTTTACAGAAGCAGACTGGCACATTTTTCTCCCCTGTAGTGGTTGGTGGTTTCGAACCACTGACCTTTCAGTTAGTAGCCAAGTGCTTAACCACTGTGCCACCAGGGCTCCTTTGCATCCCCTAAAAAACCCAAAACCAAACCCACTGCCATCAAGTTGATTCTAACTCACAGCGACCCCCATTGGTTTTTCCAAGGCAGTAAATCTTTATGGAAGTAAATTGCCCCATTTTCCTTTTGCACAGTAGCTGTTGGGTTTGAATCTGGTTAGTAAGTAGTCAAATGCCTTAGGCACTGCACCACCAGAGCTCCCTTTGCACTCCCTAGGGGCCTTAAATAATTGTTAAGTTTTAAGTGTGACTCCCATTATGGGAGCTTGCATTTTAAATATGTATCAGTACCTATTTTAAAAAAAGTCTAAAGCTCTCTGTTTTGTGATGAGGTTATAGTTGGGTCATACAGTGGTGTAATCTGAGTGATAATTTAGCAAGATGTCTGGCCCAAATGCTGTTCAGTTACCTGAAATTTTCTGTTAAAATCATTTAGGTCTTTAGGGCTATCAGAGGGAGCCTATTAATAACAACTTCCATTTGCCTACCACCGAATTTCTGAATGCATCTTATTTGACTCACAGCTCCAGGGAGTCAGGCAAAGCAGGGATTCTAAATCCCTCTTCTACAAAAGTAGCTTGGAGAGGTTGTAAATACCTCCTAAAGTCTGGGGCTAGCAAATGGTTGTTCCTGATTTAAAGCTCAAGGCTCCTCCCCTACCCCATGTAGGGTTACTACAAATGCCTTTGAGGAGAGTAAGCAGGCAATAATTAGACTCTAGCTGAGTATAGAGCCTTACAAGGACTGAGATCGGAATGACTTGGGACATGGAGGAATGAAGGTGGAAACAAACCTAGAAAGTAGAGGAAAGAAAAGGGCCAAAGAGAAAATTTTATTTTTTTCCAAATTTGATTGAGGGTTAGTCATAGGATTTGGGGTCTAGTTGTCCTCCAGGTCATTTACTATCTGTGTGAGAAGAGAAGCTTCTGGAAGGCATGTGGAGGTATGGGAAGGGCAGAGGACGGTTAAGTTACTACAATATGGTGTCTCTCAAATGTATGGCTAATTTTGTGGTAAGCCCTGAGAGAAACATAAGGGGAACTGCTAATTTTTTAAGAATGATGAATTTTCAGTGTAACTGTGAAAAAAAAAAAAATAGATACTTAATAACTGTTTATTGAGTGGTTCCTCTCTACATATTTTAAATCCTCAAAACAATTTATATTTTAAAATATTAATAATAGTATCAATTTAAATGACAAGGAAACTAAGGCAGGACTCAAACTCAGGTCAGTGACTCTAACATCCTCTCCCCATTCCCTGTAGCTTGCCTCCAACAGAAAGCATACAAGCATGAGAAGACAAAATCAAGTGCCAAAATAAATACTGCATGCCATGGAAACTCCAAGTCATGGTGCCATAGTGGGCTCGGGAAGGGGCACTGAACCAACGATCAGCACACTTGGATTCTGCTCCCAACTCTGCCTCTTAACTAACCTTTACAGTCTTGGGCAACTCATTTCTCTAGCCTCAGTTTTCTCAGCTATAAAATGAGAATAATAATAGCTGTCCTGCCTACTTCATAGGGTCACTCTGAAATCAAATGAGATAATGGTTGTAGAAAAGTGACTTGAAAGCTGTTGAGCAGACATGATATATTGTGTGGTGATGTGCCATTTGTGACAACTCCATATCTGGACAGCCGTGCTGCCCTGATGCTTGGGGTCAGTGTGGGCAGTGTGCTCGGCACACCTGTTCCTAGCTTCTATGGTCCGTCCTGATGGAAATCAGCCTGCAAAGGAACTGTGAGCAATTGCTGTGCAGGGTGCACCAATTCTTAAATCAAGCTGACACAAAAGTCGAAACCAAACCCACTGCCATTGAGTCAATTCTGACTCATAGCCACCCTATAGGACAGAGTAGAATTGTACCATAGGGTTTCCAAGGCTACAAATCTTTATGGAAGCAGACTGCCTCATCTTTCTTCTGTGATGAGTTTGAACTGCCAGCCTTTTGCTTAGCAGCCAAATGCTTTAGCCACTGTGCCACCAGAGCTCCTAAGCTGACACAAGCTAACCTGACAGTTAAAAAATGTAAGACAGGCAAAATTTCTTCCCTTTGCAGCTGCAGAAGACCTGTTTACATAGTCTGTGCAGATTCAAGAGGAGAAATCTGGTAGAAGAGGGAAGGAACAAATCACTCTGGCGAGAACCACTACTTTTTTTTTTTTTAAATACATTTTATTGAAATATAATTTATGTACAGTAAAAGACACAAAACTGAAGTAACATGGGTCAATGCAAGAACCACTACCTTTTGGAAGGAGGTAGGGTCAATGGGCATTTCCTTCAGTGACAGAGGGTATCTTATTTATGTGACTTGGAAGAGGCATGGGATTTGGGGTCAAGTTGTCCTCTAAGTCATTTTCTACTTGTATGACCTTGAACCAGATATGTAAGTTCTTTAAACTTCTGTTTTCTCAAACGGAAAGCGGAGGTAGAAGAAATATTTGCCTCATTTGGTCATCTTGAGGATATAATAACTTTAGTATTATCACTTCCCCTCAACCTCCAATATAAAAGTAGAAAATTAGCTGCTCCATTCTGTTCTCAAACCCAGTAAATGATAAATAAGGTGACAGATGTGAAAGGCTTTGAGCTCCTCACAAGGAAGGTGATTTATGAAGCAGGGTTAAAGAGGCTGAGGATAATTGAGCTTCAAGTAAGGACAGTGCCAATGGGGAAGTTGGAGGAAGTAAAAATATTAGAAACTAGGAAGTGATAATAAGCAGAGTGATAAGCATCCCTTTTCTTCTGTTTCCACCAAGAGAGGATAATGGGGTGTGAGAGGGTGGCTTTGTTATATTAGGTGATACAGACATTGGGGGAGCCCATGAGGTCATTGTTTGTGAGTCCCAAGGAAGGTTAGAGAATCTCCAAGGCAGATGTTTTTATTTTGTTAAAAACCATTAACCAGTTTGGTTGGGCACTGAACTATTAAGAATTTATTAAAGCAACAGAATCCAATGAACTAGATTTCACCGGAGATGTATAATTAATTAGGAGAAAGAAAGAAAAACCCACCCCACATCCTTGCATCAGTATAAAAGTATTGCTTCACATTCATTGATGAAGTACTTGGAAATCCTTCTCCAGTGTTTTTAAAGCAGTTGTGCTGCCTTTCGGGTGCCCTGGTGGCACAGTGGTTGAGTGCTTGGCTGCTAACAGAAAGGTTAGCAGTTCAGACCACCAGCTGCTCTGTGGGAGGATGATTTGGCAGTTTGCTTCGTAAAGATGACAGCATTAGAAGCCCTATGGGGCAGTTCTAGTTTGTCCTATAAGGCCACTATGAATTGGAATTGACTCTACAGCAATGGGTAGGTGCTACCCAGCCATATATATCAATGTTTCCTTTTGGGTAATTTATTTTTATCTTAATGTATACAGTTTTTTTTTTTGGTAATACACATGATAATGGATTTGAATGGTATAAAAGGGTATATGTACTAGGAAAAGTAGGTCTCTCTGACCTTGGGTTTCCCCACCCTTAATTAGTGCATGTCTTTCCAGAGACACAATACTTATCTAGTGTTTATATCAGACAAAATAAAATCATATTTCTATTTTTTAAAAAAATCTGAAACCCATTCAACTCATTTTGCTTCTTCATAGTCCTTTCAAGTCATTTCAGTAAAGACTCAATAAGGCCCTCTGGGTCTGACTCCAGTGGATATTTGAGGGAAAAAGTTCTACAATTGAGACCACTTGCTAAATGGACTGTTCTCCACATGCACTGCACTACTCATTGTGCCACCACAGTCAGCTTGGACTGTCTTACTGTATTCTGGTTAAGGAGAACATGTCTTTGAGGGGTTCCTTTCAGCAAAGGGATTCCCTGATTCCCTGATTCTAGGCAAGTTTCCATCTTTGGGAATCAAAATGATTTACCATAATCTACTTTCCAGAATTCTAAATCACGAAGTCTTGCAGTAGAAGTAAGGGTGACCCTCCATTGTTGTTGTTGTTGTTATGTGCCATTGAGTCAGACCCTAACAGAGACCCCTCCTTGGGTTTCTGAGGCAGTATCACTATGGAAGTAGATTGCCCAACCTTCCTTCTGAGGAGTGGCTGGTGGGTTTGAACTTGGTTAGCAGTCAGGTGCCTTAGGCACTACACTACCAGAGCTCCCAGACCCTCCACTAGAGGTGCAAAATTGTATTTCTAGAGGTCTGATAAAAGGAGCTCTGGTGGGGCAGTAGTTAAGGCATTTGGTTGCTAACCAAAATGTCAGTGGCTTGAACCACTTGAACCACTGTTCTGTGGAAGAAAGATGAGGCAGTCTGCTTCTGTAAAGATTTACAGCCCTGGAAATCCAGTGGGGTTGCTGTGACTTAAAATTGACTTGATGGCAGTGAGTTTGGTTTGGTTTTGGTATAGGTCTGATAATGAACCAGAGGACAGTAAGATATGACACACTATAATGTTTGTCAAGACTGGGGCTGTGTCTTCTTTTGCACTCACAGAGCTGTGTATAATGTCACACATATAAAAACAAAACCCAAGTCCTCTACCGTCAAGTTGATTCTGACTCATAGTGACACTTAAGGACAAAGTAGAACTGCCCCATAGGGTTTCCATGGCTGTAAATCTTTACAGAAGCAGATTGCCTCATCTTTCTCTGGTGGAGCAACTGGTGGGTTTGAACCACCAGTCTTTTGGTCAGCAGCCTAATGCTTTAACCACTATGCCACCAGACACATTATGAAAAACCAAAAAAACCAAACTCATGCCGTCGAGTCAGATCCGACTCATAGCAACCCTTCCTTGGGTTTCTGAGGTGGTATCATTATGGAAGTAGATTGCCCAATCTTCCTTCTGAGAGACACATTATAGATTCTGTTAAATATCAACTGAATAAAATGAGCAGCATGTTGGAACCATCAGTGTGTCCAGATTTACTTCCGACTTTCGCCAGTAGACTCAAACTTTGGCTTATCTCGAATTCAGATGTTGACTCTTGCTTCCTACTATATTCCCTGGAGCTCGAGAACCTGTTTGGACCTCTTCTCCCACCCCATCTCCTATCACCACTCACTGAGCACTTGGAAGAGGTTTTAAACTGGTTGCTTTTTGTGTGCATATATCTTGCGATCAGGTTTAAGGATTCTTGATTCCTAGCACAATGAATGCCTTGCACACAGCAAGACAACAGCAAAAATGTCAATTAATTTGTTATAACAATAAAGAGCCAATCATAATTCTCATAAGGAATTTTGTTTAATTAAAGAGACTGTGATTATTCTTTCACTCTTTTGTTAGTTGTTGTTAGGTGCCATTGAGTTAGCTCCAACTCAGAGCAACCCCATGTACAACAGAATGAAACACTGCCCAGTCCTGCACCAGCCTTACAATCCTTGCTACACCTGGGCCCATCACTGCATCTACTGTGTCAATCCATGTCATTGAGGGTCTTCCCCTCTTTCACTGGCCCTCCACTTCACCAAGCATGATATCCTTCACCAGGAAATGGTCCCTTCTGACAACGTGACCAAAGTAGGTGAGATGAACTATTGAATCAGTTTGAGGTTTTCTGTATCCTTAGAGTAATTTTCACATGTTCTTCTAAAGTAGAAGATGCCATATTTTTCAATATCTGTACCCCCTCCAACCCTATATAAAAATCAAACCTGTTGCCATTGAGTAGTTTCCAACTCATAGCAACCTTATAGGACAAGGGAAAACTGCCCCTTAGGGTTTCCAAGACTTCCACATCTTTTTCCCACGGAGCGGTTGGTGTGTTTAAACTGTCAACCTTTTGATCAGCAGCTGAGTATTTTACCACTGTGCCACCAGAGCTCCTCCCAACCCTATATATGTGCACACAGTGAGCCCTCATTTGAAAAGTAGTTAACTGATTGACTACTGAGGACTGGGAATTAAATTTCCACAAACATAATCTTTAAAAAGGGAGTCTGGGTGGCACAAATGGTTAAGGTGCTCGGCTGCTAACCAAACCTGAGATTCCATTCTACCCAGAAGCTCCTTGAAAGAAAAGCCTGGCCATCTACTTCTGAAAAATCAGCCATTGAAAACCCCATGGAGCACAGTCCTACAGACTACTGATACACATGGGCCACCACAAGTCAGGACTGACTCAATGGCAAATGGGAATCTTTAAAAAGATTCCAATTACTGAGACTGCCAATGAGTTCCCAACTAGGTCAACTTGCTACTGATTGGATACTTTTCAGCTCCACAGAGAAGAATAACCAACTCATACCAAACTGGGCACCTCTGAAGCACCCAATAAAACTTACTAGATGGATGAGTGAGTGTATGGATAGATGGGTACATGAATGGATTCTCAAAGGACCACCTGATCCAGGTTAGACACTCCAAGACAACACACCTGAACAATCTGTCTTCAATACCTTTTTCTTGAGAATTTTTTATAAGACCAGAATACTAGACTTGGTAAGAGCCCCTGAGTCCATCTGTCCTTATGCTTGGTCTGGCACAGGAATCTCCTTTACAGCCTCATTAGCTAATCCACTCCAAAGTTCATAAACTCAAGCTCAGTGTCTATTGCTCTATCCGGCTTCTTTTCCTCCCAACCTCCCTACCTCCCTTTCTTCCTTTATGTATTGGACAGAGCAAAGGGAAAGCAGCTCTTACTGTGGAAAGAAGAATTTAGTTAGGATAGAAACTGTTTATGCTGGGAGAAACCAGTGAACATGAATTAGTGAGTTGGAAGAATTTTCCCCAGGATTAAAGATCACACAAAACAAGTAGACTCTGGCCAAGAAGTTAGGAGACTGGGTTAGCCTCTGATCTAGCCCAAACCCCTTGCAGGTGAACAGACAGTAGAGCTCCCCCTTCTCCCCAGCCTGAAGCCCCTACTCACTGTAGATGGTCTGATGGGGTGTACCGTCCACATGGCCATCCTTGTGGATCTGCAGGTGGTAGCTGTTCCTGGCAGTGGCCGTGTACAGGTGGGTCAGGCCACCCCAGCTGGAGCCAAGCAGCGGGGAGGTGTTGGGATAGGCTCTGATGCTGCCCACACTGCACATAGTACACAAGGCATAGACCCAGATTCTGAGGCGAGCCCCCCACAGCATGGCTCTTTGAAAGGCTGGGGCCAGGTTTGAAACCTGAGACTATCTCCCCGACTCCGTTGGCTCTTGCCCCCCCTAGCCTTTCTCTCCTTTTCCTTGTGGATATCTGGAGTGAGGATCTGAGGCTGGGTTCCCTCCTTTTTTCCCTTGGACTTTTAAAGGGTAGCAGTGTGTGACATCAAACAGGAAAAACTCTGCTGTCCACATCCTCTGTGTTGTAACCATCCCATTTGAAGAGAGTGCAGAGGCCTCTGGGGATCATGAGAGGCACTTGGGTCTCACACACACACACACACACACACACACAAACCTCAATGTCAAGCCAATGCTCCGAAAAGTGAATGTGTGGGCAAAAGTTATCTGCAGCTCTGGGTTGTCTGCTGACCTATCCCACTTCCACCAGGAAATGTGAAGGCAGCCAGCAGTTCCGAAAAAACTCAGCTTCAGTCATGCTGAACTGAACTGAGTCAACGGACTCCTATGCAATTAATCTCCCATTGAGTCTACTCATTTTGGTTTTTCTCAGTCCTTTTAATTCCAACCAGCAGGTGCATATCCAGTGCCTTCTCTGTGTGCGACACTAAATAGGTATTTTGCGAACAAAAACCAGTTGTCGTGGAGTTGATTCCAACTCATGGTGACCCCTTATGTGTTCTACAGCGTGTTCAACGGCTGTGATCTTTTGGATGAAGATTGCTATACCTTTCTTCTGAGGTGCTTTTGGGGGCATTCAAACTGCCAACCTTTCAATTAGCAGCTGAGTGTGGTAACTATTTTCACCACCTAGTGATTCCAGGTATTTTGAAGGATGGAGAAATACATGATACCATTAGGCAAATGGCATCCTCTGAGACCCCCACCTTTTGAAAGATGTGGGTGCTGGGGGAAGGGGTACGAAAACCAAAGTTGCCGTGTTGTGAAGACCTCAAAATAAGAATAAAGAAAAAAAGGCTGCCTGGTCACTGATGCTTTATAAAATGCCAAGATTTGGTTTCTCAGTTTGGACTGTCTAGGGCAACCAAACTGGTAATTTGGCTCTTTCCAATTGTAGGGACACTAAGTCAGAAACCTCAGGAAGATTGGAAGGCTGCTGTCTGAGCAGAGGGTATCAGAGCTCAGGAAGAGTCCCAGAGCTGCAGGACAAGGTGTCCTCATACTCACTGTCTGCCAATAGGTGCTCTACTCTTGTGACTGGATGCTTTCTTAAAGATTAATTATGCTGATTACAAGTGTGCTCTCTGGGAAGGTACAGATTGATGTGCGGGGCTAGTCCTAGCACATACAGTCCAATGGGAAGGAAGCCACTAGGACACATATAGGAAAAGCATATATACCTGAAGCCTGTTGCTCTTCCCATTTCCCACTTACTGAGTATATACCACGTTCAGCTGTCAGGCTAGACATCATGGTGATAAGGTTCTTGCTTCAAGAAGCTCACAATGTAATGCAGAAGGCAGATAAAAATAGGTAACCATAACACAAAGCATAATGCGATGTGCAACCATACCAAACCCATTGCCAGCGAGTCGATTCTGACTTATAGTGACCCTATAGGACAGAATAGAACTCCATAGGCTTTTCAAGGCTATAAATCTTTACTGAAGCAGACTGCCACATCTTTCTCCTGCAAAGTGGCTGGTGGGTTCCAACCTCTGACATTTCAGATAGCAGCTGAGCGCTTTAACCTGCTGTTCCACTGGTGCTCCTTTGCAAACATACAAGTCCAGGCATAAAGAGATGGCATTTGTTAACCTACATTCATACACATTTTTATAGTTATAAAGCATGACCCACACTACAATTCTATGTAATAGGCTCAGTCACTAACATTGTCAATATTTAATTTTCTCACACAAAGATGGAGATCCTGGGGTTATGTTCAAAATCACAAAGCAAATAATTGAGAGAGCTAGGACAAGGTCTTCTGATTCCCTAGGCTGTTTCTCCAATAATAATCACTGCATCAATAACGCATACTAAGAATTTACTATTCCATTGACTGTTCTAAGTACTTTACTTGTAATAAGCCATTTAATCTTCATAATAACTTTAAAAGGAGGTGCTGTTATCACCTTTATACAGATGAGGAAACTAAGGGATACAGAATTCAAGTAACTTGTGCAATGATACACATCTAAGAAGTAGAAGAGGTTGGATTTGAATCCAGATAGTCTGACTCCAGACCTCATAACAACTTTGCTAGCTGTACAGGCACACATCAAGCTAGGAGCTGGGTATGAAAGTGTGAGTAGCAATGAGGCGAGTATCCCTTGCTTTTTGTCCATGTCTTTACCCAGGATTTGCCTAGAGGAAATGCTGATTGTGATTGTCTCCCCAGGGCTGGATGGAAGATTTATGTCATTTATAAAACAGTGTTCTCTTACAATGGCTACAAAAGACTTCATAAATATAGTACTGCATCTTAGCTAATTAAATAAATAGCTAGCATTTAGAACTGAAATGCAAATCATTCAGGAACATTTACTAATCTATAACCCAGCATTTCCTTTTCTGGTTGCAAGTGGCAGAGAGAAGGGAAGTACCTGTGAAGCCATCAGCAGATACTAAGAAAATTCTCTGTGCAAGAGAGAAGGGAAGGAAGGACTTAAAGGAATAAAAAGCAGAACAAACTTATACTCAAGGGGCTTACAATGTAATTTAGCAGAGAATATATTTGTTGAGGACAAGGCAATGTGTGTTGTTATTGTCACTGAGTTGGCTCTGACTCATGACAGCCTTATATGTAACAGAATGAAACGCTGGCTGAACCCGGGCCACAGTTCGAGCCCATTACTGGGGCAACGTGTGAGAAGTGCTAAATTACTAAAACATGTAAGAAAAGCTAACGGATTTCAGGAAGCAGACAGAGCAGAGTGTGTGGACTTTTGGTCAAGGAGGACTTTTGAGAGAAGGAGAGATGAGGGGAGGTGCTTTGTAGGATGGACAGGGTAGAGCACAGTGGGGAGGGAAGGCAGATGTCTTCGCTCAGTTTCTGGAGTCATTAGGGTAACCTCCCTGGCTGCTTGAGCTTCTTTCATTAGGCAAGGGAATTGATGTGCCAGCTTATTCCACTCCCAAAGACTTCCCTCCCAGCAGCAGCCTTTGATGCTTAACAGCTGGGTCTGAAGGTAGAGCAGTGCTGATGGGAGTAAATTTATTCCTGAGGGTTCTGGGGTGGTGGTGGTGGTGAGGGAACAAAGCATTGTGGTCCTGGCTAGAGTAAAGGAAGATGCTGAATTCTCTCCATCTGAGAGATAAAGGAAAAATTGAGAGAAGAGGCAAGGATTTGCCTATTAGCACATAGAGATTGCCTAACTTGCAACTCCTGGCTGAACTCACTTCCCACCAAAACCAAATCCACTGTTGCAGAGTTGCCTCCCACTCAAAATGACCCTATAGGACAGAGTAGAGCTGCTCCATAGAGTTTTCAAGGTTGTAACTCTTTACAGAGGCAGACTGCCACAACTTCTTCCTCAGGAGTTTGAACTGCTGACTTTTTGGGTTAGCATTCAAGCGCTTTGATCACTGTGCCACCAGGGCTTCTTGAACTTACTACCAGTGCTTCTCAAACCTGGCTGCACATTAGAGTCACCTGAGGCACGTTAGCACAGTCACTGCCCCAAGACCTTAAACCAGGGCTTCCATTCTGATTCCATCCTCTGCTGAATTTGCATTTCCACCCCAGACACACTGAATCAGAATCTACATTTTAATAAGATCCACAGGTGATTCTTATAGATCTCCAGGTGATTTTTATGTGTATATATAAGAATGATAAAATGTATATTCTGATTTAGTATATCTGAGGGTGGAAATGCAAGTTCTTGGGGTGGGGGGAAGGGCGCAGTTTGAATAGGAATGTACAGGTTCTAAGCCCAGCCTTAGACCTATGCAATCTGTACGGGTGAAGTCCAGGTATTTGTAATTTTTCAAAGTTACTTGGGAGATTCAAATCCACCCCACTATAAGTTACCGATTCTAAAAGTACTCTGGTAGCATAGTGCCTAAGGCACTTGACTGCTAACCAGAAGGCTGGCGGTTCAAACCCACCATCCACTACTCGGAAGGATGGTTGGGCAATCTACTTCCGTAGTGATACTGCCTTGGAAACCCAAGGAGGGGTCGTTATGAGTCAGGTCCGACTTGATGGCACATAACAACAACAACATCAATACATAGTTCCAACCATGCCCTGGGATTAGAACACAGAGTTCAAGGCCCCCTTGGTTGCCTGCTCAACTTCCCATTCCCCTCAAGGATTTCTAACTGGGAAGGTTAAGATGTAAATGGGCTTTTCTAGGGATTTGAGGGAGCCCTGTTGGCACAAAGGGTTAAATGCTGACTGCTAAGGAACATTGGTGGTTGAAATCAACCTAGTGAATCCGCAGAGGAAAGACCTGATAATCTGCTCCCATAAAGATTACAGCCTAGAAAACCCTACAGTAGATCAGTTCTACACTGTCACATGTGGTTGCTATAAGTCATAATACACTTGATAGCAAACAACAACAACAAATTTTAGTGCTAAATACAGATCAGTCCACACACTTACGACATATCATCAGGAAGGACCAGTCCCTAGAGAAGAGACATCATGCTTGGTGAAGTAGAGGGTCAGTAAAAAGAAAGAAGACCTTCAATGGGATGGATTGACACAGTGACTGCAACAATGGGCTCAAACACAGTAACAATTGTGAGGATGGTGCAGAACTGGGCAGTGTTTCGTTCTGTTGTACAGGGGGTCTTTATGAGTTGGAATCAGCATGACAATAACAATAATACACTGTGCCTGTTACAAGAGGGATGTCTCCTCTGTAGCTTCAGAGGGTGAGGGAAGGGAGAGCCCAGGGTATATTCCTGTTCTTTGCACCTAGATGGCACTCGTCTATCATGGGTCAGGTGGGAGGATCTGGAAACTAGTGTGGTCTTAGGAGTCACATGTGGAACAATGATAGCAGATGGGAGCAGGCAGCTCTGGGAAGGGCTATGCTTTGTGTTTTTTG